GGATGCAGGCTGACAGCGATGCCGGTGTCTAGAGAGGGCTGGAGTCACTTCCCACCTGTACTGCGCGAGGGTTTGCAAGCTGCTTATGGACACCCGCTTGTTGCTTGGGAGCTCCTTGATAGCGACGAGGGGCTGGAGGATTTATTGGCGGCTGCAAATCTTTCAGATCAAGAGGTTATTTCGGCATGTCGTGATGCGCTGCGGAAGCTTCGTGATACTGGAGCAGGGGCCAAGAGACAAGCATACTTCCGGCAATGCACCCTCATGCGGTGCCCTAGGTTGCCGGGTTCGTCTGATGAGCTACAAGTTATGCAAGACTGCTTTCAGGACATTGCTTCGGTGGTAGGACAAGTTCAGAAGAATCGCCGTCGAAGTCACCTGGGCATTTCTCTCCAGGCGGGCATAGAGGATCCCGAACAGCTGGAGCAGCAGGAGCGTGGTAGGTGGCAGCAAGTTCTGGCAGGTTACATTGAGGAGGCTGATCTTCCTGTTATGGAACTTATTCGTTCGAGTGAGACACCCTCTCAGGTCTGGTCCAGGATTTTCGGTAGCCGCCGTGCCAAGACACTGAGGAATCGGGCAAAAACTTGGAAGGGTTTTCATTTGTGGCTTACATTGGTGAAGGGAACATCCTGGCCCCAGAGTGTACTGGATGTTACAGATTATCTGGAGCATCGTATTGCCGAAGGATGTGGTGTCAGTGTCCCTAGGGATGTACTCTCTTCACTGTCTCTGCTGGAGAACGTGGGAAGGATTGCAGGGGACGATCGTCTCGGATCGGATCCCACATTGAACGATATGGCTAAGGCAATGGGGGAGGAGCTGGAGAGAGGCGCGCCGCCCAAGAAGCCAGCCAAGTTGTGCACGGTTGCAATGCTTGTTTCCATGGAATTGTGTGTCATCGACGATGAGACTGCGCCCTTCATGCGCATTCTGGCATGGATAGGGCTGCTTATGCATTGGGGAACCCTTCGTACTGATGATGTGCAATGGTTGGATGTCTGCCGCATGGTTTTCACGGATAACGGACTCACTCTTGTCTTGAGGCGCTCTAAGACGACGGGGCCCGGGAAGAAGGCTAGGGAGGTTCCGGTTTTTATTTTCCGGACCCTCTCCTTGTCTGGTCATGATTGGCTTCGTGTGGGATTGGAGCTTTTCCAGCAGCCAGCGTTTTTCTGGGAACGCCCTTACTTTGTGGCTGCACCCACTAAGGACTATTCAGGTTGTGTCCGAAAGTTTCTCAAGCCAGAGCAGCTCTCACTGCACCTTAGGGGCTTGTACACTCATTTGCTGGGGCCACGCTTCGATGGCTCAGTTTGGAGGGCTGACGACTTCTATTTGATTCCTGTGGATGTTCAGAATTTCTGGAGTGGGCACTCAGCCCGCCACTGGCTTCCTTCCTGGGGTACAGCACTGGGTCTTCCGAAGTGCGACCTTGACTATTTAGGCCGGTGGCAGGCAGGAGCGCATCAGAGCATGGAGTACGTCGTTAAGGCACGGGAGGTTGTCTATCGTGTCCAGAAGAGTGTGAATGAAGCACTTTGCCTGGGACACGAGTCGGTTAGCGAGCTCGAACTTTTCGAGGATCTCAAGCGGTACTGTGCCGACCGAGGTGTGAGTTCTTTGCGAGGGGTGACAGGTCATCAAATCTGGCGAAGGTCTGATGCAGGGCACTTGGCTCTCTTGACACGCTTTCCATTGCTTATCACTACCCTGGCAGTCGATGATAGGGCCGAGGCGGCATTGGTAGCCGGCTCAGAACCTGTGTCAAATCAGGAGGGCCGCTTCTGGTATTCCGTTTCCAGGCGCACGGGGTTTAGGCGTTTGCACCTTACGAACGGGTGCGGTGTGCTTCCATGGTCGGTGCACGAAGCAGTTTTCGTTGCTTCGGTAGAGGATGCCAAGGCCGATGCATGGTGTAAGATTTGCCAGAGAAAGATCGCAGAGGAAGAGGGCTCTGCTTCCTCCTCCTCTGGTAGTTCCAGTAGCACGGCTACGGAGGGGAGTGAAGGGGCTGCTGAGGAGGGCAGTTTCCATGACGGGCCGCCTTCCTTTGAGTGAAAGGAAAATTTACCGCCCTTGTGCGATAGGCCGGTTCATACCTCAAGGAAAATTTTCCGTACTTGTGCGCCGTGTCAGTGCTTGCCGCTGTCATGTTGCTGAATTGTTTGGTGACTCGAGTGTCATGTTGCTGAATTGAGGGGTGACGCAAGTGTGCCTTTTCCTTTTGCGGCCATCATTGCAGTCTTCTGCCGAATGTTGGCATATGGTTTGAGCGGCTGCCACCGGCCGAAGGGAAGGTCGTATGTGAGTGGCAGCCAAGCAAGGGTGCCCGTGGATCGAGGGAGATCCGTAGGATTTCAGTGAGGGATGGCGCTCACAGATGAGAATCGAAGGACCTTCTTGGCACAGAATGTTAGTGCCGACTTGGTTTATCTTTGGGAGGAGTTGAATGTCTCTCTGCTGCACCAGTACGAGTTGGGGCAGAATTACCGTTCCATGGTCCGGTTCGCGGCACTGGCCGACACGCGGGCTGGTGCAAGAGCTGCTTTCGCCAGTGATGTAACAGTGGATCCGGACACTGCTGCCGGTCGGGCGGCTTTGGCAGGACTGGTTGCCGCCTGGCAATCCGCTCTGGACACTACGGAGCAGGAAAGAAAGCTCAAGGCAGAGGCACACGTTTTGGGGCTGCCAAAACCCCTTCCTGCCAATGATCGTCTGGCCATGCGTGTGGCTCTTGAAGCTTCTTTAGGGTCCTTGGAGGATCGTGAAGAACCAAGCTCAACTTACCTGGCATTGAAGATGGAAGAGGTTGAGGCTGGAGAAATCAAGGCTTCGCTCTTGGATGAAGTCACTTGTACAGTGGATGAAGTGAACGCCAACTTCCAGTCGTCTGTGGACTCCTCTGGCAGGTTGCGGCTTACTAAGGAGCGCAAGAAGGCCAAGCTACCAACCGGGTCGGAAGAGCTCCGGCAGAGGCTTCGAGTGGAGGCACACACATTTTTGATGCTGGCCTCCCGCTTCCGAAACAAAGCATGGTTCCAGGGGTTGAGCTCCAAGGATTTTCTGCAGCACACTGACTATGTGCTGGGCGACAAGATTTACCTGTTGCAGACAGTGCGTCCTGAAGGGGGTCCAGCTATGACTTGGGCAAATCCTTCTTGGCAACTTGTACTTAACTACGAACATCGCCTACGCAAGGAGGCTTACAAGCAGGCCAGCCGAAACAATCGATCCTTGACCGACACGCTCAAGGAGGCCAGGGACAACGCCATGCTCAAAGAGACCTATTTCGTCGGGCCCTTGGCCATGGAGATGGCTTCACGTGCACCATTCTCAGCGGGTCCGCCTACAAAGTTTCAGAGGACTGATGGGACGCCGCCGCCGCCGACCCCTGATCCTAGCTGGGTCAGCGATCGCAAAGGGAAGGGGAAGGGCAAGGGCAAGTTTCTTGGTAAGCCTTCCAAGAATGGCTTCGTCTTCCGCAAGACTCCTGACGGCCGTGAAATTTGCTATGGCTACAACAATGGATCTTGTCCGGGAAATTGTGGGCGCGTTCATGTGTGTCAGCTTTGTCTTAAGCCACATCCCCGTAGCGAGTGTAAGAACAGGGTCGACAAGGGCGACGGGCCTGATTCCAAAAAGGGGAATAAGCCCAGCTGACTCGAAATCTCTTCTTGGGAAGAGTGGAATTCAGTGCCTGGGACGGCTTCCCGAACTTACAGGTTCTTGTATCTCTTCGCTGGACAGTCTCGCCATTCGGATGTGAAGAGCTACCTCGTGGAGCTTTCCCGGAAGCATGTACACACTCCCCGCACTGATACTCGAAAAAGGGGATGTTACTTTATTCAATCGTTTTGAGGAAAATTTTTCCTTGGAAAATTAGCTTGCTGTTTTCACACATGCTGTGTGGTGAATGAAATTCTCATGCTGCAGCCTTTTTCCCTTTCGAGGTGATTGGCGAGAATTTCTTTTTAGCCTGGAGTCCACAGAGGTACTGAACAGGACTCCATCGACGTTGCTCTTAGAGCGCCGTGCACGCCAGCCTCTTGTGGCTGGCAGATGGACGCTGGCCTGACCGGCCTCGAGGCTCTCATCGCTCACTTAACTCCTCAGCCTGAGGGTGAGCCGCTGTGAGAACCGCAATCATGTCCCATGATGCTTTTCCGCCTGCTCCGCCTCTGTCCGCCTCAGATTCTCTTGGGGGTGGGGATGCAGCTGAGGCTCCTGAGTTGCCTTTGCAGGGTTTGGGTTCTTCGGTGCCGGTGGCTCGCCTTTTGAGTGTTCAGAGTTCTGTAGCTCCCGATGTTGAAGTGGCCGGGGCGCTCGATGCAATGTTAGGCGACGGTGCCAATGTTTTGCCAGATAGCAGCCTTCCCAGTGAGACTCGTGCATCAGACTTGGTGAACACTGCCGTTGGCGAGAGTATCTGTCCTGGTGCTATCCCCCAGGCCGAGCTTGACATTGATGCCCTTGAAACGGCTGCTGCTCAGTTTAGGGTTGGCGTTACACTTCCCGAGGATCAAGAATCTTGTGCAGCGTCTCTTTCAGTACCCGCCGACACCGAGGATGTAGCCTTGATCGATTTGGCTGGTCCAGAAAGCTTGTGGTGGAACCAGGTTCGAGATTCCGACCCTCACGTGGTTTTGCAACCAGCGTCGGACCCTTTAGAAGGCCACAATGTTGATTTTGAAGCTACCTTCAGGAGTGCATGTCAAGTGCCCCTTGCATCTAGTGACTTGGAGGCGCTCGCTCAACCGTGGGATGAGGGTGTCTTTGGGGTGATCTTTGGGGGTAAGGATTTTCTTGATTTACCCGTCAAGAAAGCCGCGCGAATCTTCATTGAGGGTGAGGCCGCCGTCCCCGTAGGGGCGTCCGAGGCTGCAGCGAAGAGGGCGCGAAGGACTTCTGATGATGTATCGTTCAGCAAAGTGGTCAAAGCCCGGGCGATCGTTGATTGGAAGCAACAGCGTAGTGAGCAACTAGCGATTGGCTTAGAGATGTGGCTGTGCATGGTTCTTCAGTGGGGACCTTGCCTACTTGTCTCTCAGTTGGATGCCTGCTCATCCAGGGAGGACCAGATTGAGGTTCTTGGGGACATCATGAAAGGCAAGGCACCGTCTACTGTTCTTAAGCGTGCTAGGAGCTTGACTCTGCTGCATGATTTCGTCCGTGAGAAGAGTGCTACGTTTCCATGTGCCGAATCGCATGTTTATGACTTCTTGAAAACCCTCGAGAGAGAAGGAGCGCCACCCAGCCGTTTGTCGTCTGTGTTGGAGGCTATCAACTTCACTCTGCATGTGGTAGGAGTGTCAGAACTTGCAGAAGTGAGTAGCAGCCGTAGGTGCAAAGGAATCTGCACTTCGGAATTCTTCAAGGAGCCAAACCAAGCATCACCCTTGACGGTGCAGCAGTTGCAAACGCTACACGATGTTCTGGAATCCCATCCAGACCAGTGGTGCAGAGCATTTGCAGGAGCCACTTTGGTGTGCGCGTACAGCAGGTGCCGGTGGAGTGATGTCCAGCACACAGAGACCATCCTGTGGGACATAGGTTTCGAGGATGACCTTTGTTACATTGAATTGCGAATCGGTGTGCACAAGACTTGCAGGTTACAAAGCAAGCGCCATAAATTCTTGCATGCGGTGGCACCTTCGCTTGGGCTCAGGCCATACGGTGAACTCTGGAGGGCGTGCAGAGTGGACCTTGGGATCACCGATTCAGGTAAATGTCCATTTATGCCGGCACCGGATGCTCAGGGAAAACCAACGGTCAGAGCCCTAGACACCGATGAGGCTACAGCTTGGCTCAGGTTGTTGTTGCAAGTTGAGGACGGTGATACTCGCATTGCTTCGAAATCCATGAAGGCAACCATGATTTCTTGGGCGGCAAAGCGGGGTGTTGATCCTCTAACCCTCCAGAGGCTTGGGTATCACGCTGCAGGTGGGATGGACCTGGTGTACAGTCGTGATGCTCAAGCCCCACTGTTGCTAGTTGTCGAGCGCCTTCTGAAGGAAGTCAGGGATGGCTCATTTCGGCCTGATGACACCAGGAGTGGACGCTTGGTCACGGAAAGAGCTCAGCCTTTGGTTAGCAGCTTTGTTCCTGAAGTCGGTGGGATAGGTGGGCCCAGCGTGCTCCCGCAAGCCTCTGATGTCTCCAGGGTACAGGAGTGCAAATCTGAGCTTGGCGAAGAGTGTTCAGCTGGTGAGCCAATCGTCGTGGACAGTGAGTCCGAACCGGGTGACTCCCCAGGAGAATCCTCGGATGAATCTGATGAGGACGATGGGCAACCGATTGCATTGGTTGCTCAGGGCCTTGTGGTTCCGGTAGGGTTTGATGCTGGAGGCATGAATCATCAAAGGTAGCCCACCTTGCTCCTAAAGTTCACTTCAAGAATTTGTTTTCCTGTGGGCGGAAGGTGGGTTCCCGACATTTTAAGCATAGCAACGATGCTCTAGAGCAGGAAGACTTGCCCTGCAAATTTTGTTTCCGCAGATAGACCTTCGACTGCAAGCGCGAAAGAGGGGTCCGTTGGATCTTCGTGCCCCAGCAGTCCATTCCCTTGGTGGCGAGTCGGGAGGTCTGCCTCCTTGAGTCCACAAGGTGAGTGATTGCAGGTGGAGGAGAACCGTGCAAGGGCGACTTTGCGAGTCCAGTCACGCTGTGCAAAGCCATTGGAGCCAAGTGCATGGCCTGTGATCGTTGTCTTGCGTGGGCTGTATTCCCCTTTGGGGTGAGCAGCTGGCGACGTGCGAGTCAATGGCCTGTGCAAGTTTTGGCTCGGACTTGAAAGCGATGTACGTGCATGTGTTTGTAGCACAGGCAAAAACAGTCACGGTGTACGAAACGGAGTGTCTTCAGGACGTAACTGATTGAGTCGGTCTCGAGCTTGGAAACCCATGGCGCTGATCACCTCTGAGGCTGCTTTCCTGCAAAGGTGTTCCGAGGTCAGCTCAGATGGGTCGCTGCACGCGGCTTTGGTTGCCCAGGGCATTCGCAATTTTCGTCAGCTTGCTTTCGCCATAGGCACCCCCAGAGTAGAGCCGTCGGCTCAGCAGTACTCCGACTTGGCAACACAGGTCTTTGGTGCGAGTCCGGCACTGGGAAAGATTGCTATCCTGAGGGATCTTCACTTTGAAGCCACGACATATGTCATTCAAGTGTTCAAGGAGCAGGCATCTTCAGACACCGCGGATGTGCAGATCAAGCGCTTACCGCTGCCGGAGCGAACAGCTCGTGCCCTTGACCAGCAGCGTAGGCTGAGTGGAGTCGCCATCACTGGTGAGCTTCAGCCGTCTTACAACCTAGTTGACAAGTGCAATACCATGCTGGAGTCTGGGGCTTTAGTGTGGTTGCCGCCCTCGGTTTGCAGTAAGAGGGATGCTGAGGTTGCGATCGGAATCACGGAAAAGTCTCCTGTCGTTCATCTTGAGAAAGATGCGTTGAAGTTGACAGCGCCTCAGCCTAAAATCCCAGTGGACTTGTCTAGTCCGCTCAACCTTATGTGGGCTTGGCAAAGACGTGGAATTGCTATGGACCAGTGCGGATTGCTGTCGTGGGCAGTTCATGAACAGTATGTGCAACGCCTGTTGAATCTGCTGACCGCTCCGGTCCCGAGTCATTGCTCTCCTGTGCGCACTGAACAGCTTATCAGGGCTGACAAAGAAGTGTGGACATTGCTTGCAAGAGAGGTACAGCCACCTTACAAGTCGTTGCCTACCGGGATAAAGCCATTAGATGCCCCTTTTACGAGCATGATGTTTGATCAGCGGATTCAGGTTTGGCTCACGCCAGTCGCAAGCACTAATGTCTCATCTGCTTCAGGTGCAGGTGCAGTGCCCGAGGTGCCAGATCTTCCTACGCCACATGGTCCGCAGAAAACCGCGACAAAGAAGAAGATTCGTAAGAAGGCGCGGGCTCTCATGCCAGAGTCCTTTAAGAAATGCCCAAGGTTTTCTAAGGGACCCGTGTGTTGGGCGCATAATGGTGAAGGTTGCACGTCCGAGACCAAAGTGGTGGATGGCTTGCCGCGGTGCTCCAAAGGGTTTCATGTGTGTGTGCAGTGTCATAAGGCAAACCACAGCTTTGCAACCTGTCGCGCTAAGCCGAAGCCTTGACTAGGCACAGGCGATGCTTCTTCCGATCCAGGTGAACAACCTGCGGTGAAGAATCCTCGTGTTGATACTGGAGGCGGCTCGGATTCGCTTGGAGCTCCAGCTCGCCCCACTGCCACAGAAGCAGAGCATCTTAATGACTTGATCGAATCTCTGAGTCAGAAAACTCTGTGCAGTGATGACATCTTGAGGTTGTTTGATGCTTTGCCCAAATCCCCTTCGCCTCGTCAGTCGGACGGGAAGGGTCAATCCTTTGCTGCCGGGAGTTTTGTACACGGTGGAGCTGTTGGTCTACATTCTAATACTATGGCCTATGCAGGTGCCGTGAGATTGATTTGCAATTTTCTGAGTGCGCACATGAAAGGGGCGCCTTTTACTTCATTCATTTTCTTGGATCAATGTCAGAGTAGTCTGCATGTTGACGCGAACAACGAGCCCCAGAGCTGGAACATCATTGTGCCGATCAGTTCTTTCCAAGGTGGGGGCGTTTGGTACCAGGCAGAAGATGGTGATGTCGTGTGCCCTCATGACTCGCGCTTGAAGGGCAAAATTCTCCCTGTTGACAAAGGCCCGCAATGGCTTGCAGCCACCCGTGACAAGCATTGCACCTTGTCTTGGTCGGGCAGGCGATGTGTCCTTGTCGGGTACAACACCCGGTTCGCTGATCATTTAAAGTCTCACGAAATTTGTGCTCTGAAGGATTTGGGGTTTTCTTTGAGTCCTGCGGTCTCGACAGGGGAACCCATGCAAATACCTCCGTCGTTGCATGTGCAGGATATGCTTGTGATCGAACTGTGCTGCGGCCCTGCCGCTATCAGCCATGCGTGTGGAAAGATCGGCTTCCAAACTTTGGCACTCGATCGCAAACCTGCTTCTTCATCTGTGAGAGTCTTGACTTTCGACCTTTTGTGTGCAGACAGCGTCGCTGGCCTCACCACCATGCTCAAACATGAGGCTTCCCGAGTGGCAATGGTCTGGGCCCGTGTGCCCCACAGCACCTCTACACCAGCTCGTGAAAGACCTCTTCCACAGTTGAGAGGGAGTCAGTTGCGCGAGCCCAAGCCGTTACGGACCTCGGCCCACTTGAAACCGCCAATCTGGTTTTTGAGTCGGTCTGCCTTGTGCTGCGTGCAGCCTGCCTTTCAGGCATTCGCTGTGTTATTGAGAATCCTCAGAATTCGCTCTTTTGGCAGACCTCCTTCTTTCGTGCCCTTCAGGCTCTGAGCCCTCAGTCATGTTGGGTTCCCTTCCACATGTGTGCTCATGGCGGAGATCGACCTAAACCGTGCAAGCTATGGACTTCTTCGCACTTCCTTGATGCCTTGCAACTTACATGCCCAGGTGAGTCCGAGCACCATGTGCACACGTCCTGGAAACCTGTCTCCAAGGACGGGCGTTTTAGTCAAGCCATCAGCGTGTATCCCAGTCTCTTTTGCCAGCGTGTAGCTGGCTTGCTGAGGGATTCTGTTGTCAAGGAGGGCGCCTCTGAAGCTACATCTTTGAGTGAACAGCAAATTCACACGCCGCCTGCTGCTCGTGTTCCCCTTGGCCTCCAGCCTACGCGGTCACCGGGTGTGCTGCCCGAGTTTGGTTACTACGTTCATGTCATCGATTATGTTCAAAACTCGGAACCAACTGCAGTGGCGCCGCCAAAAGGGCATTTTATTTCTCGGCATTTGTCCACTTGGGGCGATGTGCAGGCCGAGAAACGAGTAGCTGCTGTAGGCTTGCACTGTAGGGTTTCCGACCCGCAACCTGGAACCAGGGTGGAGGTTTTCAGGTTTGGCATCCCCCTTGCTCCGGATAAGTTTGTGCAAAGGGCCGTAAGTGCTGGACACCCAAGAGACTTCGTTGACAGTCTCGAACCGGCCTTGAAATCCGTGGTCAAAGAGAACCTTCTAGGTGATGAATTTTCTTTGGCTAAGCACCGTTTAAAATTCATAGCTCGCTGGTCTGCGCGAGCGAAGGAACTTCAAGGCCGTGAGGATGCACTTCACGCAGCGCTTCCTCCTCACATCCGTCAGACCTTGAAAGGCAAACGGCTCCTCTTGTGGCAGGAATGAATTCTTGCGTATGGTCTTCCGGATACCAGCCTCATCGAGGATATGCAAAAGGGTTTTTCTTTAAGTGGCTGGCTGCCTGCAAGCCAGGCTTTCCCCACGCAGATTAAGCGACCCGAGTTTTCGCTTGAAACGTTGAAACTTCTGTCAGGTAGTCTGAACAAAGCCGTGCTTGAAAAAATGGCGGTGCGACAAGAGCCTTTGCTCGAGCATGCCACTTGGCAGGCTACGTTGGACGAACTTCAGAGTGGTTGGATCTGGGAAGCGCCTAAGTTTGAAGGGGATTTTAAGGTTTACGCCCGTAGGTTTGGCATAGTGCAAGGGGACAAAACGCGCGTGATTGATGACTGTAGTTGTTGCGGTCTCAATGCAACCGTGGGGACGGTTGAAAAGTTCGTTGTCCACGCGATTGATAGGATGGCTGCCATGCTGTCTTACGCAATTGACATCTCGACGGAGGGAGGAGCTCCGCTTTGCGGCCGAACGTATGATCTCAAGTCTGCATACAAACAATTCCCTGTGACCTGTGCAGACCGTGACATCTTGAGAATGTTCGTCAACCGACCAGGCCAAGCCGAGCCGTCGTCAGTGGGCCTGAACGCACTCCCGTTCGGTGCAATAGGCTCAGTTGCCGCTTTCTTGAGAATAAGTATGTCGGTTTGGATGTTGGGGGTGCTTGCACTTAGGGTAATCTGGACGGCTTTCTTTGACGACTACAGCGTAGTCTCGAAGGAGAGCGTGAAGCAGAATACTGCCTTCGCTGTGCAATCCCTGTTCAACCTTTTAGGCCTTGACTACGCCAAGGAAGGGAAGAAGGCGCCTGAGTTTTCTGGGGTGTTCCAGATGCTAGGTTTAGTGGTTGATCTTAGTCAGTTCGAAAGTCGTCTGGTTAAGATTGGCCACACAGACAAACGCATTGCTGAGCTAACGCGCTCTTTGGATGGAATCCTTGAAGAAGACAGACTCAGCGCGAAGGAGGCTGAACGGTTACGAGGGCGCATGAACTTCTTTGAAGGCCATGCTTTTGGGAGAGGGCCGACTCAGGCGGTCAGGAATTTGGATCGCCAGGCACGGGTTGGTCTCTTGAAGCAAGGCTTCACAGGAGATGCCAAGACATCTCTTGGTGTTCTTCGCAGCCGCCTGTTGTCCGCTCGGCCCCTTGAGATTAGCCCAAAGTTCAGCAAGACTTGGTATCTCTTTACGGACGGAGCCTTTGAGAATGGAAAAGGCAGTGTCGGAGCAATCTTCTACGACCAGTCAGGAGTTGCTCGTGGTGCCTTTGGTAGTCGCGCTCCCGATGCCTTCATGCATCGTGCACTTGAGTACTCTCGCAATCCTATTTATGAACTTGAGCTTGTGCCGGTTCTGTTAGCTTTTAGGGTTTGGCAGAAGGTCTTCAAGTGTGGCCAACTTGTGGTGTACGTGGACAATGAAGCGGCGAAAGCAGCGTTGATCCGTGCTTGTGCATCTACGCCAGTTGCAGAGTTGGTTACCGAGAGTGTGCGATTACTTGAAGAATCGCTCCAACTCAGGTGCTGGTATTCTCGAGTGCCTTCATTGAGCAACCCTGCCGATGCACCAAGTCGGCTCTGCTTTGATGGCATTGATCCTTCAATCATCGTGAAAGCTGCGTCCTTGCAGTGGGATGTGTTGTCCAGTGTTGGCCGAGTGGGGTGACTTGCAGCCACTGGACCTTTCCCCACTTGCGAATAAAAAGAGAGACCGCGCTTCCGTCTTGCAATTTTTATATTTTATATATTGAGATTATGCTCTTATATGTCGCTCGAATCTTGCAAGATGAAGATATCTTCTATGACCTAAGTGATTTGGATTCTTTTATGAACCTTTCATTGGTCACGTTTGACAAGCGGTTCCTCACGATGAATAAGTACACACTCCCCGCACTGATACTCGAAAAAGGGGATGTTACTTTATTCAATCGTTTTGAGGAAAATTTTTCCTTGGAAAATTAGCTTGCTGTTTTCACACATGCTGTGTGGTGAATGAAATTCTCATGCTGCAGCCTTTTTCCCTTTCGAGGTGATTGGCGAGAATTTCTTTTTCCCACCCGGCCCACCCTGGGGTATGGAAAGGTTTTTCGTCCTTCTAAGAAGGTCTAACTGCCTAACCCAGCCGTCTGACTTGCAGCCACTGGACCTTTCCCCACTTGCGAATAAAAAGAGAGAGCGCGCTTCCGTCTTGCAATTTTTATATTTTATATATTGAGATTATGCTCTTATATGTCGCTCGAATCTTGCAAGATGAAGATATCTTCTATGACCTAAGTGATTTGGATTCTTTTATGAACCTTTCATTGGTCACGTTTGACAAGCGGTTCCTCACGATGAATAAGACATCAACCTTTTCGGACTGGAGATTGATCTCACCCGCAGTACGGAGCACGATCTTCGGTCCAATAGTTTGTGGGCCACGCTATCAAAGCTTCTTAAGGAAGCCGATGCCGTTGTGTTGGCCCCTCCTTGCAACACCTTTTCGAGGGCGAGGGCACACTGGAGAATATCGCCGGGGCCGCCGCCCTTACGTTCACTTGAGTACCTGCATGGCTTTCCTTGGTTGTCTGACTCCAACAGAAATCTTGTTGAGGATGCCAACTTCCTTGTTTCAAAGTCCTTTGAGTTTTGCCAGCTTTGTGTCGAGGCTGGCGTAGCCTTCATCATCGAGCACCCGGAACAGTTGGGAAGGGTGCAGCACATGGTTCCTGGGTCCATTTGGGACATGGACGAGAGCAAGCATCTGCTCTTGTCCGAAGGCGTGGAAACCTTCGCTTTCTTCCAGTGCCAGTGGGGTGATGCTCTCAGTAAGAAACCCACCAGGTTTATGGCTTTCCAGGTCCACTGGGACACTTTCACCTCGTACGCTGGTGTTCATCGTCTCGCTTCAGATGGCTCATATGCAGGACCTCTTCCTCGCCACTGTGGGCATGTTCATGAGCCTCTTCTTCTTGGAAAGGATTCCCATGGTGATTGGAAAACTTCGCAATCTGCTGCATATCCTCCTAATATGTGCCATTGGCTGGCCGCCAGCTTGCTTGGTCTTCGCGTTGGGGGGGGTTCTGCAGCAAGCGGCGCCCGCATGACGACCTCCCAAAATCTAGCTGCTGCTGTATCGCAGCCTCCGGAGCTTTTTGATTGGCAATGGGCTCCCTGGTCCTTGGCAAAGGTGGCATTCTTAGGGGAGCCCTCATGTCCCTTGGAGAGCAAGTCTCGGGAGATCGCCATGTCTGGCAGGATCTCTCAGGCCGACGTGTTTGCCCTTTGCGATCTGGTCACCGGTGAGGAGACGGGCCGAGGACGCAGGCCAGGGGAGTTGCCTACGGAGAAACTCTTTACCAGTGGGGCTTACGTTCATGGCGGTGTCTGTGGCTTGCGCAAGCACTGCCGGGCCTCTCCTTGGACAACCGCCCTGCTGGCTTGCATCATCAACTGCGTTTGTCCTGGCTCTAAGTTCACTTCTGTCTTGCTTGGCAGGGACATAAAAACGGGGCCTCATAGGGATGAGAACAACGAGCCTGGCAGCCACAACATTGTGGTTAAGGCTGCTTCCTTCTCTAGGGGCGGCCTGCTGCTGGAGGACGAGACTGGTGACCAGGAGATGATCGTGAATGGTCAGCTTCGGCAGTGCAGGGTGTTGGGGTTTGTTCAGGGGTTCCTAAGGTTTGACCCTTCGCTCTGGCATGCTACCGAAGACTGGGAAGGCACACGAGTCGTGGTCATCGGCTTCTCGATCAGGGACCCTCATAGGCTTAAGTCCGAGGATCAAATTTTCTTGGAACGGCTACTAGGTGATGAGGATCTTGGGGACACGGGGCTTACACGCTCTACTTCTTCGAAGGTCAAGTCCCCCGACGTTGAGTATCCATTTCACGGCTATATGGAGGCCGCGAGGAGCTACAACTACGGGGATGCACTCACGGTTAGCTGGCGAGGTCTACATCAATCTATGTGCGACGGTTGCGGACTGAACAGCCCCGGAAGGTGGCGACCCGGGTCCCGAGGCCTGGGACTCCCTTGGGAGGCTAGTGATCTTGCGCAGAGGATTCACGGACTGCTTTTGAGGTTCGTCTCGGAGAACATCGGTGACACCAAGAAGGCTTTCTTCCGCTTGGCTCTGGGCAAGATGACTTCGGCCCCTTTCAGTCCGGAAAGCATGGAGCACTTGCGTGATGAGTGGTTTCGGCTGCTTCCCGACTCCAAGGCCGCCTCCAAGGTGGCTGAGGGCCAACCATTCTACTTGGAGGCTCTTTCACAGACTAGTCGGCTTCTTGGGGACGAGGACTGGGGGATTCTGACTAGGGATCCGGAGAGCTACGCTTCGGGGCGCAAAGTGGGCGTCGACTCACCCTTCCCGAGGGTCCCTCTGGTTTTCCGGCCGAAGAAGAAGTGGAGAAACTATGATGATTCACCTTACCAGGCGATCAATGCAAACTACTCCTCGGCAACTCTGGTTCCGGATCAGTTGGAGGCACAGTTCGAGGAAGAAGAAGCACTTGGCATGATTTTTCCTTTGAGCGAGGCTGAGGCACGAAAAAGATTCGGAGACAAGCTGCACGTGGCATCCCTAGGAGCCATCATGAAGGACGATGGCACGGTCCGAACCATCTTTGACGGTACCCACTCCGTGAAGCTCAACAATCGGATTCGCATTGATGATCACTTAGAATTCCCTGGACCATCATGCGTGGGACGTGCCATGGAGGAGATGGAGGACGAGGACTACCATCTGCTGATTGGATTGGCCGCGGATGTGGCTAAGGGCCACCGAAGGTTCAAACATCGCTCGGAGGACCACGGCTACCTTGGCTGTAGGGCGCGCGAGGATGGTCCCATATGGTTCAACCGGGTCGGGACCTTTGGCATGGCATGCGCTGCTTATCACTTCGCCAGGCTGGTTGGGCTCATTGGGAGATGTGCACTGACAGTTCTGATGACGAGTCCGCTGTTCCAGTTTCTCTTCGCTGACGACTTGAAGTTCTTCAGTGGAGGTCCACGTAAGTATGATCATGTCTGGACCATTCTGGTTTTCTGGCTCATGGTTGGGACCCCTTTTAAGTGGAGCAAGTTTCGAGGAGGGGTGCAACTGGATTACGTGGGATTCGCCTTCGACTACTTCCGCTTCTCCATGGGTCTTTCGGAACGAAGGGCTAACTGGATCATCGAGTACGTGAATGCTGCGCGACGTGACCGTGGCTTGCTGGACCATCGGAGGTTCGTGGAGTTTGTGGGCCGTTTGGTGTACGCTGGCCAGGTCCTTTACTGGCTTAGGCCATTTATGGCTCCATTGCATCGCTGGAAGGGTGCTCAGGTTCCGGGCACGGTCGCAGTTGCGCCAAGGCTTGTGATGATCACTCTGGAGTACATTCGCTCGATGCTTCTTGAGGGCCACGCTCAGGTTTCATGTCGGGGTGCACGCCCAGCCGAAGCTGAGTCCTTTCGCACGGATGCCAAGGCTGCCGAGGACTTTTATGTTCTGGGAGGTTGGGAGACCTGCCACTCTCTTGATCCTGGGCGCGCTAGGTGGTTCTCTCTTAAGGTGCATGCGCAAGAGATTCCGGCCCTTTTCAACGATCGCGGCACCGCTGAGGGAATGAGCACTGTAGCGGAGCTGTTGGCCACCCTTGTGGCTTTACATGCATTTGGCTGGCTAGAGACTAGAGGACGATGCTTTTCAGTATCGGCTGGCACGGACAACTTGGCTAATGAAACCGTGACGGCCAAGAATAGCACTCTGAAGTTTCCGCTGGCGTATGTGCAGATGCAGTTGTCTCATTCTTTGTATAAATGTGGAGGTCACTTGAAGCTCAATTGGAGGCCGCGTGAAGTTAACACCATCGCGGACGACTTGACAAACGAATCGTTTGGCGCTTTTGATCCCAATCTTCGCATCCACGTCTGCTTGAATGATTGTGATCTTAGCTTGCTCCGAAAGTTGTCTCAGCATCATGATGAGGTTTCCAGCTGGAGTCAGAGGGGAGTATGCAGTGCCCCATCTTCGCTTCGCAAGCGCAAAGATAAGTATGACAAAACCAAGTGGGGCTGAAGGTTGGCCCTCGCCTGTGGGGGGGGGTCCTGACCAAAGGTCACTCGGGCCTCCTTCGTAAGAGCACAGCGCTACGATTGCACATCCAAGGAAAAGTCTGCTCATCCGATGTTGCATTCCGTCTCTTGTGATGTGCTTGCCCCTTATGTGGGATTCGAATCTTTTATATTGCATTATATCGCGGAGTTATTTATGGCGATAACTTTGCTCGAATGTTTTGCTTTCAGCAATTTTGGAAAAGCTTCTTGGGCCTTGCCCAAAGGCATTTTCCAAATCATGAAAGGGGCTGGTAGGGTGGGCCTCTTTTGGAAACCAATGATTTTGGTTTTCCCATTGCTTTGAAGTTTTCCGCTTTTTTGCATGATAGGTTTTGCATGCTCACGTCATGCCCTTCTGAGTCGTGCTGGACGATTGACATCTTTGCTTCATATCAGTTATGCTCGAGCCCGGAGGTGGGGCAATGTTTTTGTTCCCGCCCATCCCACCCTTTAAGACTCTTTTCGCGCTTGGGAGGGGTGTTTTTCTCATGACGGGGGGGTCCTGACCAAAGGCCACTCGGGCCTCCTTCGTAAGAGCACAGCGCTACGATTGCACATCCAAGGAAAAGTCTGCTCATCCGATGTTGCATTCCGTCTCTTGTGATGTGCTTGCCCCTTATGTGGGATTCGAATCTTTTATATTGCATTATATCGCGGAGTTATTTATGGCGATAACTTTGCTCGAATGTTTTGCTTTCAGCAATTTTGGAAAACTTCGACAAGCCCTCCCAACAGGCCTGGTGTATCCAGTGCCGCCCAATCTAAATTTCCTTTTGCCGACAGGTGATGAGCCACACCTAGCGGCAGCTAGCTTCACGGAAGTCTGTCGTCGCGTGCTTATTGAGGATTTCCCTAACATCCCTTGTATGCAGTGGTTTTGTTGCAAGTCGGGTGATCTTCCCCTCTTAGCCACACAGCACGCCCTGCAGGCGTATTTGGCAGGGACTCTTGTCGACGTTGGCCAAATCAGTTCTTTCCTTCTGGCTCCCTGCAAATGCAAGTGTAAGTCATCATTGCTGTTTGGACAAGCTCCCACCATAGAACAGGTCACTTCCTTGGACCGAACCCCATGGGGGCCGAAGCTTTGCACGGAGTCGGCTGCTGTGCTAGGTTTCATGCTTAGGGGTGCGCCAACATACGTTGGCAGCACCGCAGGCATAAATGCACTTCCAAAGGCACAGGTCCTCCTAACGGGCCAGAAAGCCACAGCTTCCATAGCCCGCAAAAGGAAGCTTTTTCAGCCACTACGACAGTCCTTACCCGAAAGGGCCATCTGTTGCAGGGCTTACCTACACAGTTGTCTTCAATACACGCAGCAGGTTATTCCGCCCGATGCCGGTGAGCAGCAACGTACCCTTGTTGCATGTGCCAAGTATGTCCTTGGAGGAGGAAGACATTGGCTTGAGGCGAAACACGTTAATGGCGTCTTTCGTATCTTCAAGCTCCCACAGCCGGGCACGTGGCGTCTCTCCTGTCCCATTGGTCGCTTTGGCTTCATCCTGAGGCTGTTCCCCAAACTTGCTATTGCTGCTGCTGGGGGCATGCGTCCTGTTGTCGCACGGGAAAAGCCTTTGCTAGCGGCGATCCTCAGGCAAATTACACATAGCCTGGAGGTGTGTACCGCTGCTGGACCGGTTAAGCAGACTCTTCAGCAGTATGCGCGCACGTTAGTCAGCACCGACTTCCGTGCCTGGGTTGATAACCGCGACCAATCCTTAGCTCATGTACGCGCGTTGTACAAACGATGCATAATGGAAACCGAGGACCAACAGGCCACCCAATACTTGTTAGGCAAAATTGCCAAACAACCCTGGGCCGGGCTTGGCTTGCAATGGCTGTCCAAAATCTTGTCCTGCCCTGGTAGCCTCTCCAGCACAGTATCCAGGGCTTATGCTCTGCGATGGATTGTCGCTGAGGAGGCCGATGCTGGCTTTATTTATAGACAGTACTATACGCGTCCGGACACCTGCGCGCACTGTCAAGGTATCTTTCCTAAAGAGCATTTACGCCGCATTGGCCACTACGGCGAAGGCGGGCTTTGTCTAGCCTGCCTACAAGTACTTGGTTGGCAGGAACTGAAATCTTGGTTGACTTGTAGGGTTGATGCTCTGGCTCCATATCTCTTTGAGGCAGGGGACACGTGGCTGACTGTGCCTGCCCTACATGCGCCGCCCACCTCCCGGACTGTTGGGGCTATCCCCCCTGCAGCCTTCCACTACTTGGAGCATCCCTGTCTTTTGTGTGGATGGGCCGATATTGCCCAGTCCTCACGTGTTCTGCAAGGCTACTGGGGATTAATCGGCCGCTGGATACGGGTCAAACAGTGCGAAGTACCGCCACGTCACTCGAGCTCCTCGCATCCGCTCGGCGGTACCTGCGTGAGCTTGGGGCCATGTGGGAGCCGGGGTGGTCTCCGCCCTCTAGCACTCAGGCTAGTGGGCCTTTGAGCCACGCAGTTGCCATCGCCAGCTCAGCATACTGGGGGGCGCCTTCACGGTACCGCTCCGTCTTCGGCCCCCCCCCTGACTGCCTTCGTACTGCGCCACAGGTTGGTTGCCTCTTCTCTCGAGGACTCTCCATCTCTGCTGTAGATGTTTTTGCCCACGCGCGCCATAGGGCTACGGCCAAGCAGTCAGCAGTTGTAACGACAGTGAGTTTCTCTGAAGGCTCCCAACTCGCTGTACTCGATCCCCATTCTACTGAGGTTGGCCTGCTGTATTTGGCGCACCCTGTTCTCAAGCCAAATGTACGGGTTGAACATCGCGTCTGCCAATGTGGCCGCATCCATGCCTTTGTTACGGCACTCTGCAGTATCCCTGAAGGTGCCTACCTTACGGCCCATGTCCAGCAATACCCGTCCGATGCTATCTATGTGCAGTTTGATGGCGGATGTAAGCGACACCTTACGGCAGGAGGTGCGGGCGTCGCAATGTGGCACCAGTTTGTCACGGGTCCTGCTCACCTCACCTTTTCCCTCCCCCTTCCCGAGTGCCCGGATGCTTATGAAGCCGAGGCTGAGGCGGCCATACTTGCCGCAATCCGTTCGCTAGAATACGCAGATACCCTTCGGAGACGCGGTGTCCCCATCCGTGTCATCCATATACAGGGGGACAATCTCGCCATTGTTGCCTATCTTGCTGGATTCGGCAGATTACGACGGGTGAGCCTGGTTTGTCGCTTTCAAAAAGCATGGGACTGCATTGCCAAGTCCCACATACGCATTGAGTGGGAGCAGGTCCCGCGCAGCGCGAATACAGTAGCTGACACTCTTGCTGGAGAGGCCCTCCAGGCGGCCCTCCTTCTACAGCAACAGTCGGGCTCCACTGACAATTTGTATGTCAGTGTTTTTGATGCGCCACAATCAGTCTCTCCGCCCACGGCACCTCTCTCTGACGCTATCATCTCGGCTCTACAGCCCAATGCACGGCACTGGACAGGGCTTCAGCTTTCTGCGACCTGCTTGCAAATTGAGGCTGTGAGCGACGTTATCACCCTGCCCGAGCCCGAGCCTCTCCACGTCCAGTATTTGGGGAGGGCCCTCACATCCCTTGGACCACACCATCTCCGGGGCACACGAGCCCTTCGGGACTTCTGGCAGGCCTTCCCCGCAAGGGCAGTTGTTTCGAACGATTACCATCGCAGTGCCTCCGTCCCTCAAGGCCGGTATTACTGTCGTGTCGGTATTGCACACTTAACCCGCCCCCTCCGACTGCTCGCTCTTGGACCGGACACTGTTGAAATTGATTTAGTCGGGGCGCATTACGAGGCCCTGCGTGCTTTGGTGGTCGCATTAGGACGGCCTGGTCTAATGCTACCCGTCCAACAAGCCCGCGAGGTTGTATATCGAGGCTGCCCGTCACAGGGCCATGCCTGGGCCACATTGTCACCCAAACGACTTCTCAATTACACCATCAACAGTACTGCAGCTGACGCCATTATGCAACTCCACCAAGGAGGCCTCTCGTTTGTCTCTGTCGAGGCTAAAAACGTCTTGTACGCCATTGACGAGGCCAAGGCCCACCTCGTAGCTAATGTACACCGCTTGACTTGGTACCAGCGAGACCCACGCTCCACCGCCCGCAATTGGGTTTACTTTGTTTTGGAGGCGGTGGAGGGACGACTCTCACGTGCCCTCCTCCGCGCTTTGCTCCCGGATGTCCCGCAAGGAGTCGTTTGGCTACACGATGGGATGTACGCCCGGACGACCTTGGATGCCCTCTGCTTGCCTGCGTTGCAGCAAGCCGTGGTTGTCGAGCTCCGGGATCTTCTCCTCTCCATTACGGGACAGCAAGAGCTACACTCCCCAGCCCCGGAGGAGCTCGTTCGGGTTGCATGTCTCGCCATCCCTTACCGAGAGCTTATTGCGCACCTCTTACCTGATCACGCCCCCCCCAATCCTCGGGGCGGGGGGGCAGGTCCTCGAGCTAGGCAGCCGCGCAGGATCGGCCCCTCGCCTGCTCCTGAGTCTGCCGCTCGCATAGCGCATCGGAAGCGTACCTCGGACAAGGAGCACGGCGCTGCCAAACGGCAGTGCCTAGGACTACAAGCCTATTTTCGGCAAATCGCTTCGTTGTAGCCGTCCTTGCTGTGTTTTTTGTTATCCTGCTGTACATGCGGAAATTCCTGCATCCACCTTTGGTTTGTGGATCTTTTTCTTTTGTTGCACTTCTTGCATGATTTTCTCATGTTGCATCACGTTTCCACATGCAGGGGGCGCGAGGTCCTATGACAAAGCTCGCGCCAACGAAGCTCTTTGTCATATGGACAGGTAAACGTACCTGCGACCAGTTCCTGGGTGCAAGAGCGCAGCTGGATTGGTCAGAAATGAAAACATCATGTTGATTTTTCAGTTGGTTTTGCAACAGTTTTATGTCTTTATTTGAAATCTCTGACAAATCGTACAATGCTTATGGTTTTCGCTTGATGTGAAGCAATCTGTCTGAGCATGTCCATGAGCGTCTC